GGCGCCGCGCTCCCCCGGAGGTGACGCGCCCCCTCCCCCTGGCCCGGCCGCTTCTGTTACCTTCCGTACCTTTGGTGGCCTGCAGTTTTAATACGACGTGTATCTTTTTATCTATCTTGGGATCTGTTGGACTCTGTGAATCTACGTCCGGGTGTCTTTCGTCAACTCCGGACAATTATCTTTTCAAATATCGTTTCTGTCCCATTTTCTCTACTCTTTTCTTACCTTGGCTTTTATTTTTTCCCTATGTCTTTGTTTCTGTTGTCCAGTCATGCGCCGCGTCACGACATCTTGGTCAGAGGCGGGCCACATGCGCAACGGTGGGCCCGCAAATCGTAACGGGGCTGACGGTTCCCAGGGACGTGGCCGCCGCAGGGCCCGCGGCAGCGCCTCCCTCGCGTGTTCTTGGCGGCGCCGTGTAAGCTCGCCCGCGCGGCCTGCCCCGTGAGAATATAGCCCAGACGTTTCTGTGCCGCACACGACACTTGGCAGCGATAATAAAAGGCGACGTCGCCGGCTCGCGGCGGTTCAGAGCGCGCTTTCTCNCGCGCCTCTCCCGCCTCGCGCTCGCCGCGTCTCCGCCTCATGTCTTGCGCTTGATCAGCCTCCGGTCATGTCATGTTGTTCATCGCGGCCCCCGTGTGTGCAGAACCCACTGTTAACGTTGCCAGTGAGCGGCCGCGTCGGGTGATTGACCTGGAAATGGGACGGAAAGCGACTGAGGACTCTGAAGGTGAGAAATCCGCTCGCCGGCCGGGCCGCCCCGTCCCGCGCTGCCGACGATTTTGAAGAACAGGACAAAGTGACAGAGCTGTTAAAGGATCTGCTTCCTGAAGGCAACGAGACCTAACAAAAATTTGGGAAGGGCCTGCATCACACGGAGAGGAACTTCTAATGGCCTGGGTTGAAGACCAGACCCACGGGTGCATCCCTCTCAGTCCGTGGCCGTCGCGGCCAAAGCAGACATTTGTGTGTCGTCGGGAAAGAAAAGCCCGGCCCCAGCGACAGTGTTGAGTTTACGGCTGGCGCTGGGTCGTTAAGCGAGTCGAGAACCGTTCTTCATTCCGGAACGGGGAAGTGAGTGGTGAGTCTGCAAGAGCGGGTGGGATGGCAGCTGGCGAATTTTTGGAAATTCTAGAGAAGCAGACTGTGGAGGAAAATTATTTGTCAGAGCAAATGTCCCGCGGCTCCACTCGTGGGCGAGCGCCCGACGCGGGTGGGCCGTTTTAAACGTTTTGTATACTTTTTGTACTGCGCCTTTTCTGTCTGGAAACAAGTCCTGCCTGTGGCGGTCCAGTTGCCGCAGCGCCCGGGGCAGTGGCGCGCGCAGGTTTGCA